GGTGGCCCAAGATGACACGGCATCAATCGCAAGTTGAAGCCGCCGTTGAAGGAGAGGCGAATCATCACCCCGACAGCAAAGAGTAAGATCGTCAACATAAAAAGCGGAGAAGATGCCAGATGGAAGGGAGGAAAGACGATCATTGAGGGGAACCAGAAAATGAGTAGTGCTCAGAACACTACCTTGGGGCACACCTTCATACTGCCGAAAAGAGGCAGAGAGAGTGGTACCAAGCCTGACTCGAAAGGTACGACGAGAGAGAAAGCTTTGAAGGAAGAGAGGGAGATTACCACGAAGGCCAAAAGTACGAAGTTGGGACAGAATATGGTATCTCCAAGTCGTGTCATAAGCCTTTTCCAGGTCAAAAAGGACAGCAACAACGGAGGTCTTCGCAGCAAAAGCAGTGCGAATATAGATCTCAAAATTCACCAAGACATCAGTCGTGCTGCAGCACTTGCGAAAACCAAATTGAGAAGGAGAAAGGTGTTGATGGTGTTCCAAGAACCACATCAGACGGACATTTACCATACGCTCAAAAGAGCTTGCAGACACAACTCGTAAGAGCAATAGGGCGGAAGTCCTTAGGGGACGTACCGAGAGACCCTGGTTTCCAAAAAGGGAGTACAACGGAATCGAGCCAGTCCTCAGGGACGGACGACGACTCCCAGACCTGGTTATACAGACTCAGTAAATACTGAGACGTGCACGGAGGGAGATGGCGAAGCATCTCATAATGAACGTTATCCGAGCCCGCTGCCATAGACCGCAGAGGGCCAGGGCAGACTGAAGTTCAGAGAGAAAGGATCGTTATTGGGAAGGCGGAGATGAGTGTGGAAATCTAAAGGATAAGATTCAAGAACAGGCTTACGAAGGAAGGAAGGATTGAGGAAGATGAGAACCAGGGCTAACAGTAGAAAAGTGGGAACCCAGCTCGATCGCAACCGTCACTGGGTTAGCCACAAGAGTACTACGGAGGTGGAGAACCGGCGAGACATCTGGAACGAACTTAATTGCCCGCAATCTTGCGGATCTTCTTCCAGATCTGTGGCACCGGAGTATCAGACATAATGGTGGAAACATAAGATTTCCAACTCTCACGTTTAACTGTACGGATGGTCCTACAGGCCACCGCACTTGCCTTCTGGAACAAAATAAAAGAATCAGCAGTCTGCCGGCGGCGGTGTTTCTTCGAGGCTGCACGCTTACAGCGGACAGCCCGAGCAAAGTCCGCATTCCACCAGGGAACGTACTTTCCCGTATCCCGGGAGGAAGAGCAAGAAATAGAGCGAAAGGCAGCGTCGAAGACAGTGTCATAAAAAAGGAGGGCACGAGGAAGAGGCAGAGAAGAGAGGTCAGAATGAGTAGCACGGAGGGTGAATAGGCTCCAGTCAGCCTTGGCAAACTGCCACCTAGGGAAGGAGAGGGGAGGGTGAAAAAAGAAAAAGGAAACGAGGATGGGGAAATGATCACTGTTATGGAGGTCATCAAGAACCCGCCACGTGAAATCTAAGTAAAGGGACGATGAGCAGAGAGAAAGATCAAGACAGGAAAGGGTGCTAGTTCGAGAGTCCACATGAGTGAGCTCACCATAGAATTCAGAAGAGATAGAGAAGAAGCGAGGACGAACGGTTCGAGAAGGCGGCCTCGGGTGTTTGTCAGAACATCACCCCAGAGGGTATGTTTATTTATTTATTTATTTATTTATTTATTTATTTATTTATATATATACAAGAAGGTACATTGGGATTGTGAAGATACATAGCATAGTAATTACAATCTTGTAAAGCCACTAGTACGCGCAGCGTTTCGGGCAAGTCCTTAATCTAAGAAAATTTTAAGTAGGTAAATACTTGCAAAATTTATAAAAAATGATAAGTTACAAGGCAAGAAAAAAGAAGGATGAGAGAAAATTGTAGGTATATTAAAGCACATAGGTAGCTCAGATTGCAATGACAGCTTGAATGGTAGTTGACAAAAATTGGTAGGCACAATACAGCATATGGCTAGCACATAAAAGAAGACAGCATTAAACACAATGATAAGGTTGTTTGGGTTAAGTACATAAAAATTCGGAGATTGGGTAACACTAGATACAGATCAAATTTAAAGCTCAGTGTAGGAAACTACGAAGATGAAATTAGGTACTTTTTGGTTTTGCTTTTAAATGAGGCAAAAGTTTGACTGCTTTTCAATTCACAAGGGAGTGAGTTCCATAGACTAGGTCACTTAATTTGCATAGAGTGTTTACACAGATTAAGTTTGACCCTGGGGGTATCAAAGAGATATTTATTTCTGGTGTGGTGATAATGGGTCCTATTACATCTGTCCAGGGAGAGTTTCAGAGCATGGTTTGCATTTAAGAACAGGGTTTTGTAAATGTAGTTGACAAGAAAATGTGTGGAGGGAGTCAATATTTAGCAAGTTTAGGGATTTAAACAAGGGAGCCGAGTGTTGACTGAAAGCAAAGTTAGTTATTATTCCGATAGCAGATTTTTGCTGGGTGATGATGGGCTTAAGGTGATTTGCAGTGGTAGACCCTCATGCACAGATACCATAGTTAAGATAGGGGCAGATTAGTGCATTATATAGTGAGAGGAGAGCAGAGTTAGGAACATAATATCTTATTTTAGAGAGTATACCAACTGTTTTAGAGACTTTCTTAGTTATGTGTTGAATGTGGGTGCTGAAGTTGAGTCTCTTGTCTTGGAATAGGCCAAGAAACTTGCTATCATTTTTATTACTGATGTTAATGTTGTCTATCTGTAGCTAATGGTGGAGATCAAAGTATTTAGCCCATGTAGCCGGACCAAACAAGGCGTTTTAAGTATTAGTATGGGAAGGGATCATGCGAGTGCGGTTGTGGCGGGGACGACGTTGAGAACCCCAGAGTGAGATGGGGTAAAAGATGCAGTAGTCTCAATGAGAGATGGAGCCGTGCCAGGGGACGAGGTGGTCACCACTGGGGGGCTGGGAACTTGATCCTACGGCAGAGGAGGGAGGGGAGCTGAGGGGAGTAGTGAAGAGGGTCAAAGGAGGAGGAAGGACCGGGCCCAATGCTGAGGGGCTACAAAGCCTGGTCTTCCAACACAGTCCGACTCGAGGGCTTGGTCGCTGACCCCACGAGCCTGAGAAGGTACAAGGGAAAGCACAATTAGAGGCAGGACACCCAACAAGAAGCTATCGCCGATCATGCCGGGGCCCCCCAGGGGTGTGTAGCGAGTATACGCCCCACACACGCCACCTTAAGAACTGTCAGTCTGTCGAGATCAGGTTCAGTGACGAAAGGAGGATTGACAATGAAAGGTTCCCCTCGCTCTCGACGTTGGGTACTACAGTTCTACGGGCTCAAGAGTATGCCTCCCCAAGCACCCGGGCGTCAAAATAGAAGAAGTCCAAAAGAATAACCAAAAGGGCGGCAGGAAATGACAAGCAGATAGGAGAAGAGGGAGGAGAAAAACGAAACAAGGAAAAGGAAAAGTGATCCGGCACAGTTGGAGAGGACAGCAGCAGGAACATAAGGCCACAAAAGGATAGAGGACTGTCCTATGGAGCATCACACTCCGGCAGCCGACCACCAAGCCACCTCACGGCGCCAACGGGCCGGATGGGGAATCAAACTAGAAATGCTTTACAAATCAAGGGACCCAGAATGTGGAATGACCTTCCCAATTATGTTAAAAGAGTGTACCTCTCCCAATCAGTTTAAGATAAAACTAAAACCAAAATGTTAACCCATGTCTACTATTTTAAACAATGATGTTTGTTGACCAAATTGTATTTTTGCTTTTTTTCTGCCTTGTTGCCCCCCCGTTTCTTTTTTATTTTATTTTCTCAACACAATTTATACTTTAATCCCAATTAGTATTAAGTTTTAGTCTTACTGCTTTACCTGCCCGAAACGCTTTGCGTAATAGTGGCTTTAGGCATTGTATGTACTAGCTCTACCTATAAATCCATCAACGTTTTGTATCTCACCTTGTATGTATATACTTTACCTGAATAAATATTTTTATTTGTATTTGAATGGCGCTGCCCCATAAACTTGCCCCACGAGGCAAAATTTAAAAAATTTGAACCAAGATGACATTTGGAGAAATCCTTTTCAAAATAAACTACGAGGCATGAACACTGGTTTAGGGCTTCTATTCCTCTTGACAAGAAAATAATCAACACAAGTATGCAGTCATATTCAATGAAACATATATATAATCAATAATTATATTTATATATATGTATTTAAATTTACCTGAGGACCACTAGCCCTAGAGGCCTCGACAAGGACAGGATAAGCCGCCGGCTTGTCGGAGGTCCTCCCATTTGCCTTAATGATCTTTTCCATGTATATTTTGAAATTTAGCACAGTTTTTGGCAGTTACGATTTTGGCGGGTACGCAGTTCCATGGGTTGATAACCGTGGGTGAAAAAACATCTGTTCTCAGTCCTACACTGTGGTTTATTTAGCTTGGAACCGTTGCTCCTGATTCGTGTTACATGGGACTTTAAGAAAATATCCGGATCAACATTCTCTAACTTGCTCGGCATTTTACGTTTCAATGAGATCCATGTTATGCCTGGTTTGCAGTGTTGATTGCCATGTAGCCTATCAATACTCATACTCTGCCCAAATAAAACAGAAACAAGCAACACTTAGTACCCCAGCCAGAGGCTTAGGGCCCACACAGGAATATCCCTGAAAAAAACTAATATTTTACCATTTATTCCATGGGCCTGTAATTTCCTTGCCAGTCTTTCATATGGTACCTTATTAAAAACTTTAGCAAAATCCATGTATATTACATGCACCTGAAGGCCTTCGAGTAGCTGGTCACCGTTTATGTGAGTAAGTTTGTAAGGTAGGATCTGTTTTTAACAAATCTATGTTGTGTCGATTGTACAAGGTTGTTCATTGAAAGATGGTGAATGATTCCCTTCCTGAGGACTAGTGATTTTTAACAGGTAAATGAAACACTTCTCAAAAGATTTTGTTAATAAAACAACTGTACAAATAAACATTTCATTACAAACTCTTACAAAAAAATATTTACATTAGCCAGTATTCACAGTCTTCCACACCAACACACATTCACAACATCAGCATGCAGTCCAAGAAATGATCATTCAAGCCAGCATATACATCTTCACACCATACGTTCCTTCATTCCTTCCAAGACTCCCAAGACAAGGTGGAAAACAGAGTAAAGAAAGATAGTGAAAGGACCAGGAGAAAGGTTTCGTTGTCACCAGAGAAGACTTCCATAGTAAGGAGTTTTATCATGGGATCATTAGACATGTGAAAACTGCAAGGAAAAATGGAATTAGTGACATGACATAATTTTGTAAACACAATTTTACTCCAGAACTTTTGAGGAAAGTTACTTTACATCAAGATGTTTGGAACATGAATAATTCTACTTCTTAATGTCTGTTATTATGTAACAAGACACCTTGTAACTAAACTATATTTATCACACTATATTCAGATATTGATTATATGTATTGTATGACTATTATATTGTTACATGAATAATATTCAATATTAAAATATCTTAAACAGATTATTATTAATTAATGTTTATGACAAACATGTTTTCTTATCTTAACAAGTAGTAAATGGTTTATTCTATGATAAATGATTTTCAGCCTTCTGTGGTGATGTTGAGGCAAAATTGTATGGCTTAGTATATCAAAAGAGAATATAAAGTATTAAATTACAGCAACAACATATAAACAAAATCTTAAAATTATTTTATATATCATATATGTAATTAGGTATTGCATGATATTTTACACTGAACTGCTTTAAAAGTACAATATTTCTATTATAATTTTAACATTCAACTATTCCGAGGTACAGTAAATGCATCATAATACAGAAAGATCAACTTACAGAAGGTGCAGCCAGTGATGTTCTGCCAGCCGGTGTTGGTGCAGGCAAGAGTGAGGGAGCTGGTCTGGTTTTGGAAGCGGTATTGAGGGTTACAGTGAGCCATTACCTCCTGGCCCTCAAGCCACAATCCTGGTACCCAGGTGGTGCTGCCGTTGTCAACACTTGGCTTTCCTTCACACACTACACCATCCAGTTGTAACATTATGGGCACGTTTGTTAACAAGACAATAACAGGTCATTAGTCTGATGCATGCTTTTATCATTAAAACATTTCAGACATGATCTTTATTATAAATCTCAGTAGAATGCTTATCCTAAATTCATTAATAACCCTTTTACTGCTAAAGTCGACATTCTTCTCCAATACTATTTCAGGTGCCAAGAATTTGTTTCACAAGTCATGCAATGTTCGACCAGGTCCTTTGGCTTCAAGACTGTGGCCTGCAGACCTAAACAAATACTGCACTCCATTAGTTATAAAGGACACATTTTAAAAAGAATTTCTGGCATAACATCAGAACGAGAGATCACCCTGAGTGGGAGAGATCACATCCGAACTTGTCTTCAAAGTAATGGCAATCATGTCGAGCATATAATAGCATGTAACTTTTGGCATTCATTTTTTTGCTACTTCAGTTCAATTCATGCTTCAATTAGTTTGTATTCCAGACATCCTTGTGCACAGGAATCTTAGCAGATATGTGGAAAAAGGCAAACAGTTCCAATCTACAAAAATGGTAGCGGAGAAAACCCTCTAAATTATCGACCCATATCATTAACAAGCATGGTAGTAAAGCCACTTGAAAAATAGTTAAAACCAAATGGGTAGAACACCTGGAGAATATTATAATAACTGACAGATAGTATGGTTTTAGAACAGAAGATCATATGTAACAAATCTACTTAATTTTTATGAAAGACCCACAGAGATTCTACAGGAATGAGATGGTTGAATTGACTGTATCTGGACCTAAAAAAGACTTTTGACAGAGTCCCACACAAGCGGTTGTTTTGGAAACTGGAACATGCTAGAGGGGTGAGACGGAAACTTCTGACATGGATGAAAAATTTTCTTACTGAAAGATGAGGGCAGTAATCAGAGGCAATATATCTGACGGGAAGAGTGTTTTTGGTTAGTCCTGCAGGGTTCAGTTCTTGCACCAATAATGTTCATCGTCTAAATAAATAATCTACCAAAATAAATATAAAATTATATGAACAAGTTTGTGGATGATGCTAAAATACTGAGGAAGATAGAAGATGCAGACAACTGTCATGCCCTTCAAATTGATCTAGATAAAGTAAGTGCTTGGAGCACCCTGTGGCAAATGGAGTTCAATGTGAATAAATGCTATGTTATGGAGTATGGAACAGGATAAAATAGACCACACACAACCAACAAATTATGTGGAAAGGAATTAAAGAATTTTTAACAAATAACGAGATCTAGGGGTGGTTGTGAATAGTAGACTGTCACTTACACTTACAAAATAATAACAGGAATCGACCAAATTGACAAAGGAATTGCTGAAACCTTTGTCAAACCTCAAGATCTTTCAAGTTAAGAAAACAAAGGTGGCAAAAAATATTAGAATTTTTTTTTTGCAAACAGTGGCATACAATTGAAGCCATTAAGTTAAAAAGTGGTGAAGGCCAAAACCGCCAGTAGGTTCAAAGTGTTATACACTTTGAGACACCAATGTGTAGCCATCAATATTATAACCTCTCCCACTCTACCAATAACCGTTGGAGTGCCACAGAGCAGCATTTTGGGACCCCTACTATTTCTTATATACATCAATGATCTGCCTAATGTCTCTAACATTCTGAAACCTATTTTGTTTGCTGATGATACTACCCTCATCTACTCTAACCCCAACCCACATACACTAAATAATGTTGTTAATAATGAACTAAAAAAAGTCCACTTATGGATGTCAACCAACAAACTAACACTTAACATAGAAAAGACCTACTACATCTTATTTGGAAGCAAATCTACAAATGCAATTTAGCTTCAGATAGACAATGTAAACATTAGCAATAAAAATGATGGAAAGTTTCTTGGCCTATTCCTAGACAAGAGACTCAATTTCAGTACCCACATACAACACATAAGTAAGAAAGTCTCTAAAACAGTTGGTATACTCTCCAAAATCAGATATTATGTACCTAACTCTGCTCTCATCTCTCTATATTATGCACTAATCTGTCCCTATCTTAATTATGGTATCTGTGCATGGGGTTCAACCACTGCAAACCACCTCAAGTCCATCATCACCCAGCAAAAATCTCCTATCAGAATAATAACAAATTCTGCTTTCAGACAACACTCAGCCCCCTTGTTTAACTCCCTAAACATGCTAAACATAATCTCACTCCACAAATTCTCTTGTGTCAACTACATTTACAAAACCCTGTTCTTAAATGCAAATCCTGCTCATAAACTCTCCCTGGACAGATGTAATAGGACCCATTATCACCACACCAGAAATAAATATCTCTTTGATATCCCCAGAGTCAAACTTAATCTGTGTAAACACTATGCAAATAAAGGGAACCAGTCTATGGAACTCACTTCCTATTGAATTGAAAAGCTGTCCAACTTTTGCGTCATTCAAAAACAATACTAAAAAGTACCTAATTTTATCTTCATAGTTTTTTACCTTTTGCTTTAAAATTGCACTGTATCTATTGCTACCCAATCTTTATGTACCCAATCTGAACATCTTTATCATTGCTGTCTTCTTATATGTGCTGTCAATCTGCTGTATGGTGTCTGTTAATCTTGTTTAAATTACCAATCAAGCTGTCAATGTAATCAGAGCTTTAATACCAATGTGCTTTAATATACTTACTAATCTCTCTCATCTCATTTTTTTCTTGCAATGTATTTGTTATCATTTTATTAATTCTGATAGAATTTACCTACTTAAAATTATCTGTTAGACTAAGGACCTGCCCGAAATGCTGCGCGTACTAGTGGCTTTACAAGATTGTAAATACTGTACTCTGCTATGTATTCTCACAAACCCAATGTACCTTCTTGTATATAAATAAATAAATAAAAATAAATAAATACATCAAAGAGTACTGGGAAGACGGGACACCATGATCGTAGCTCTCATCCTTTAACTACACTTTGGTAATTACACACACAACTGTGTTATAAAACACATAACCTGTACGAGATTAAAAGAGACAGAGGGGCAATTTACAGTTTACCTCTGAGACAGGGCGCGAGAATAAGCCAGCCAGTTGGCGTACAGGTGAAGTTAGTGGTGTTGGTGCCATCGTGTGTGAGGTACTGGTCACTGCAGGAAGCTGTGAGGTTCTCATCCAACCACCATACCCTCACCTCCCTCTTCCAGATGGCGGACCCATTGGCTGCCTTGAGTGCCAGCTCCTCAGCACAACCTGCAACAACAGAGCAGCACAGTGAACTGGTACAGGAGGGTTGTGCAGTGAACTGGTACAGGAGGGTTGTGCAGTGAACTGGTACAGGTGGGTTGTGCAGTGAACTGGTACAGGAGGGTTGTGCAGTGAACTGGTACAGGAGGGTTGTGCAGTGAACTAGTACAGGTGGGTTGTGCAGTGAACTGGTACAGGAGGGTTGTGCAGTGAACTGGTACAGGAGGGTTGTGCAGTGAACTGGTACAGGAGGGTTGTGCAGTGAACTGGTACAAGAGGGTTGTGCAGTGAACTGGTACAAGAGGGTTGTGCAGTGAACTGGTACAGGAGGGTTGTGCAGTGAACTGGTACAGGAGGGTTGTGCAGTGAACTGGTACAGGAGGGTTGTGCAGTGAACTGGTACAGGAGGGTTGTGCAGTGAACTGGTACAGGAGGGTTGTGCAGTGAACTGGTACAGGAGGGTTGTGCAGTGAACTGTAAAGGAGTAACGTCACCCAAAATTTTTTCCCAGTCAAACTAATTTTGGCTGGTTATGAAGGTTTTCATACCGTAATTATAATAAAGCAAAAAAAAAAAAAAAAAACAAATAATTATATTATTTACAATATAGATATAACCACTCAATAAAACATAACCATAGTCAACTTTCCTGCTAGCATATACATTTACCATGTACTATAATGTGTGCCTCATGTATCTCTCAGGCTAAGAGTACAAGGAGACTGTCCCACAGGGGTGTCACCCCTAATTCCTTAAATATACAAGAAGATTGTCTGATAGGCTATCCCCTCCTGTCTCTTAAAGTGTCCAAGAGGATTCTCTCACCAGGTTCACAGCGCGTCATGTTCTGCCAGCCTTGGCTCGTACACTCCACTGTCTGGGTGAGATTGCCTTCGGGTAAGATGTAGTGACCCTGGAGACAGGTGGCGTTGACCGTAGCTCCCAGCGGCCACACCACAGTGGATGACCAGTCAGTCATGGCTCCTTCCACGCTCGGCTCCTCCTCACACACTGCCACAATGATCACATTATACCAAACAAAAGGTTAATTGCAGATACATTTTCATTTAGTCTCATCACAAGCAAAACTACTGTATTATACCAACTATAGCATAATATAGCAAAGTGCAAGTGACATTACAATTCACTTTAATAATAATACCAATAATGAGAAAATCAATAGGAGCCATGAGAAGGATTCGAACCTATGCACAAGGTACTCCCAGGCAAATGCTCCACATCACTAGACCATGACATGGTCAAAAGCATTGCAACACGGGATTCAACTGAATCCTTTGGGGTTTGAGGCTTTCACTAAAGCCTAATCAGGGTTTCACACAATGCCTCCATGCACTCTGGCTTGTAGTCTAAGAATTCTACTTCCTGTGCTTCTCTTCAAAAGCACGAAGAAATCACATTAACGTAATGTATCAATGAGGAAGTCAATAGGAACCATGAGGATGAATCGAACCTATGTTTATGCAAGGCTGGCTAATTTTTTTTTTTTTTTTTTTTTTTTTGAGATATATACAAGAGTTGTTACATTCATGTACAGCCACTAGTACGCGTAGCATTTCGGACAGGTCCCTGGAATACGATCCCCTGCCGCGAAGAATCGTTGAATCGAATAATATCGGAAGTGCCTTCAGAAATCTGTAAGGAATCATTCAGAACCTTGTATACCACATATGTAAGACCAGTCTTGGAGTAAGTGGGCCCCCAGCATAGAGTCCATACCTTGTCAAGCACAAGACGAAGCTGGAAAAAGTTCAGAGGTATGCCACTAGGCTAGTCCCAGAAATTAAGTGGCATGAGTTACAAGGAAAGGCTGCACCTCACGTCACTTAAAGACAGGAGAGCTCAGGGGGACATGATCACCACATAAAATTCTCAGGGGAATTGACAGGGTAGACAAGGAGGATGGATTACTTACCATGGGTGGTACTCGCACAAGGGGACACAAGTGGAAGCTGAGTACCCAAATGAGCCACAGACACATTAGAAAGAACGTTTTCAGTGTCGGTAGTTAATACATGGAATGCACTAGAAAGTGATATGGTGGAGGCTGACTCCATATACAATTTCAAATATAGATATAATAAGAGCACGAGAACCTCAGGAATCTGTACACCAGTAGACTGATGGTTTTGAGGTGGGACAAAAGAGCTGAAGCTCAACCCTTGCAAGCACAACTAGGCGAGTATTGGATGCTCCTAGTGCATAGGTTCGAATCCTCCTCATGTCTCTGATTTTCTCATAGATACATCATGATAATGTGATTTCTCTGCGCAATGATAATGATAAAATCTATAGGAGTCATTATTAAGGTTTGAATCCATGTACTGGGTGTTCCCAGGCACACACTAGACAAAATGGCCACGACATGGAAAAGGGTTGCAACCTGGGGTACTACTGCACCCGCGAGGATTTCTGAGGCTTCCACTGACGCCGAACCAGAGTTCCACACTCTTCCCATGTTCTCTGGCTCTGTCATCTAGGAATGTGCTACCTCTGATGATCCTCTTTCAAGACAGAGTAATCACAATCTAATTAATCAAGTAATCACTAGAATCTATCCCTATTTAACACACAGTATCTGTGCATGGGGTTCAACCACTTCAAATTATCTCAAGCCCATCATCACCCAGCAAACATCTGCTATCAGAACTATAACAAACTGTCCTCAGACAACACACAGACCCTCTCTTTAAATCCCTAAACATACTAAACATACACTCCACACATTCTCTTGTGCTATGTACATGTACAAAACCTTGTTCCTAAATGCTCACCCTGATCTGAAACTTCCTCGACAGATGTAATAGAACCCATAATCACCACACCAGGAAATAATTATCCCTTTGATATCCCCAGAGTCAAACTAAATCTGTGCAAACACTCCATGCAAATAAAATGACCCAGTCTATGGAACTCACTCTCTAATGAATTAAAAAATTGTCCAACAAATTAAAAATATTTATTCAAAATAAATTAAAAGCATTATTCAAAAGTAAAACCAAAAAGTACCTAATTTTCTCCTCATAGTTTCGTAGCTTGTGCTTCAAACTCACCTGTATTTTGTGCTGCCCATTTCTCCAATTTTAGTATTTAAGATATGCAGCTTCATTAGTGTAAACACTCCCATCAATTTATGTTGTATTTATTATGGTAAACTCAAATCTTGCTACAATATTATGTTAATTTGTTGAACTCAAATTCTGCTATAATGTACCTATTAATATTTTAACTTATTAGTTAGATATCCTTAGAGACAGCAGTTATTGTCAATTGTTGATTCACAGGGTAATACGGTTATCATCGTATGAAAATTTAACAAATATTGTCTGGGTTTTACATGTATCATGCAAATATGGATACAATAGGTCTATGTGGATGTAATGGCATTTGCTTTGTTCCATGAAAATATCCCCCTACCATTTCATGGTACAAATGCGGTTATTGTCATGAATGTTACTAGGGTAATGCAGTCAATCATATGATGATTTAAACAATGTCTGGGTTTTACATGTATGATGCAAATATGTATGTAAAAGCTCTCTGTAGATGTAAATAAAGAAAAACAAGTGATAAAACAATCAGTGAAGCATCAGAGAATAAATCAGGAAGTGTCAGCAAAGTTGAGCACCAGGTGTTGACAAGTGACAGACACGGCCTTGCAGAACACCTCCACCCAGTGAAATGATAAATTCTTATTTTTTCTTATATTTTTATATTTATATATTTTTCATAGGGAGGTATGACCATTATTCCGTAGCCGCTGTCTAAGGGTTAAGGACCTGCCTGAAACGCTATGCGTGTTAGTGGCTTTGCAAAAATGTTAAGAACACTAGTGTTATGTATGTATTCTTGTATATAAATAAATAAAATAAATAAGCAATTTTGGTGGCTGTAGTGATGAAATCAAAACACAGTATGGAGCCATATGATGATACGAACAGACGATACTAGCAATCACATGATGCAAGAAAATGCCTCCTATGACAAGCGAAATGTTATCATTATGATAACAGAACTGCTGTTATTATCGCATTCCTGTCACAAAATCCCAAATATGAATCCATTTCCACAAGGTTATATTGTGAAGGAACTTGAGGTAATTTCATGATGCGTAGATACAGAAAACAATGGCTGGGTGCTGTCTCTCTCTCTTTACCTCAGGCTGTGAATATCATAACTAGCATTGTGTTCACTGATATCCGACTGTTGTACATAGATGATCTTGACTGTGATTAAGACTATGACATTGTCAACACAATAATTGCAGTTACCTATTTTATTCATCATTATAAAGTGGTGCTACAGCGGTGCTGTGAGCTCCTGCTGCATGTGCCAGCTTGGTCGTTCTCTCAGTACTGAGGTTCACAGCCAGTAGGGATGCAGACAATTTTTTTTTTTTTAAGATGGCATCTGTTTACTGGAGTCCTGAGGAGCAGCATGCGAGTCCCATGTACCCACGGGAGTTTTGAATCGTTCCCTATACCTAAAAGGTCATAAGGTGCTGTGCGCAGTGAAGTGGTTAAGTGAGTGGATTATATGAGACATCTGAAGAATTTGTGTGGGATAGATATAAGAGAATTGAGAAAGTTGCATGTGAAATAATTATTTACAATGGGTTGTAATGATGAAATTCTTGAGAGAAAATACTGTTTCTATTAATAGGAACAAGTGATAAAATGCTGATAAAAGTTTCCATTGTTTCTCCCCAGGTACTTATATCGCTTATTATTATTACTTCTTCGATTCAAATACTTGAGAAATTGTTTTTAATGTTATTTTGTTGTTTTATTTAATAGAATTTATTTTCATAGTGCTGTAGTTTGATTTAGCTGTTTTCATTTTCCTAGTGTTGCAGAGTACCTCTTAGCTGCTTCTGTAGGAATAATTAGTATTTTGTATTTCTTCTGTTATTCAAGCTTTGTATTGATTCAAGTGTGCCTTGTGTACACTATGGGTTGTTCAGCCTTTTGAAAGTAATTTGTTTAGTTAGCACGGGACTGTTTGTGTTATAGAGGCTCTCACTCTGTGAAGAAACGTGTAAATTATGTTAATATTAGCATGGGATCATGCTTGTTACAGAAGCTTCGAGTCTATGAAGAAATGTATGTACACTATGCCGATGCTTTCCATATTACCGAGTTCAGTCTCCTTGTGTACTGTATATGGCTGACTGCTTCAAGGAAGTTCCTTATGGAGGCTCAATGTGTAGTCTGAAAGTAATGTTCATTGTTTAAAGTGGAGATTTAGTATTGTTTGTTAGAAAAACTGTTAGATAGACTGTAAATACTAATACACGCATATTGATTCTAAAAGCTGGAGGGACAATAAAATAGAGAAGTTTAAATGGTGAAAAAACTACCAATTTCTGGTGGCAATATAGTCCACCAATTCAGATAATTTGTTTTCCCATCAGCTGTAACACGTGCAAGATAGCAACATTCAAGCAATGCAACAATACATATATAACATGAAAGCACAATCAATATTGCAACAAGCCTCAAACATAGCAAAAATCATGAAAATAGCAGAGTGCACACTGTACAGTAACACTCTGAGGGTATAGCAAACACTGCAATATTAACTTACACTTCAACACGCGCAAACACTCGGCATCATTTTTTTTACTGTTAAATAACACATGTGCTATTACATAATAGCAAGACTTAGGGAAGAGGACTGACCTATCTGACATCCGGTTAGGTTCTGCCAACCCTGGGCAGTGCAGGTGACGGGGCTCTGTGAGGCGTTGTTTGCCACAAAGATAAATCCAGGCAAGCAAGTGGCCGTCACATTGTCCCCAACAAACCACGTTCGATTCCTCCAGGTGGTGGTGGCATTCTCCACCAGAGGCACCACACTGCACTGCTTGCCTATGTTGACTGTGGATGATGATAGTGAGTACTTGTATGTATGGTGGCATACTCAGATATAATAATAGTTACTTATATATTTCACACTTTTAAGTGATGCTTTGGACACAGGATGAACAACTGTGCTGTTAGTTCAAGATGCATATGTCAGTCTTGGTACTGCTACTGATGCCCTCACACACAAGAACGAAGCCCACAATTCTTTTTCACCTGAGGTTTGTTTACTAGGGAGCCTGAGAAAGTTAATGTGAATCCTGTGTAGCCACAGGACTTTTCAATCTTACACAATATTCTAAAGTATATGTATGTATATGACTCTTGCAGTGCAGTCAAGATACGCCAAAAGGATATATATGATTTGTGCAGTGGAAAGGTTATAATGAGAACTGAAGAACACCTTTGTACAATGTGGTACATGATGAAAACCTGATCACTAAAATGTACAAACTGCTAAAGTATGACGGCAAAATTTGGCTTCACAAAATTACCTTTTTCACAGCCAGTGAGGTTGGTCCAGCCGTCCCACGTGCAATTCACCTGGAGATGGTCAGTGTCCTCAGAGATGAACCAGTGGTCTGGAATGCAAGTAACAGTGACGTTCTCTCCCACATACCAGTCTCTGTCCACCCATGTGCTGTTGGTGTTATTCACTTCGGGCTCCTGTCTACAGTTTACACTCGCCACTGAAATATAGAATTAAAGCTGAAAATTCTGGAGTAGATTTCCAAATAAGGCCAGAATTGGCAAGTATATTAGCAGTTAAACACTCGGGGATCATTGAGCCAGTAATACAATGGCGTTGGCTGTATGCAAAACATAAAAATTACAATCTTTTCTCTATTAGGAGGGAACTTCACATCAAAATTCAACAGGACACTGCAAATCACTTAGTGATGAGAAAGCACTTTCCAAAGAAATTTACTGCTCCTACTTTCCACAAATAAATATTTCAGGAACCAGCCTTCTGGGTAACATGCGCATGGCACCATACCAAGTTGTAAAAGATTGTAGATTAACATCTAGGAGAGAGCTTGTATGTATGTTTGTATGTATGTATGTATGTATGTATGTATGTATGTGTCTAGGTAATTACCCAAGTATAATTACCTTAGTTACAGAATGAGAGCTACGCTCATGGGGTCTTAGTTTGTTGATGCTTTTCCCGAGTATGTTGCACATAATGGGTATATCCTTTAATCAAATCAAATGTTTATTCAGTTAAAAGTACGTACATACAAGACGAGTTACAACAAATGTTGGATTTCTAGATAGGTTGTTTACCTCAGTTATATCAGTGGACAGCACAGTCGTCCATCTGGTGAGTGAGAGACTATTTACCATTGTATTATGTCCCGTTCCCTATATCTTTAAAGAAATGTGATGCACACACCCTGCTTGTTTAAGTTCCGCCCATTCAAAAGTATGGTGCCGGCCCCATGTGGTTACCCTCGTGTTTGAGGTGTTTATAGTAAACACGTGTTCTCTATCTCTGATTTAATGTAGAAGAGGAGGATCTGTTTGATTAGTATTATTGAAGTATAAGCCAAATTTTCACATTCAATTTTCTCCTCCCCACCCCCTCCTCCTTCTCTCTCTTACAAAACAAAGTGCATTTAATGACATAAGACAATATATGATGTGACCAATAATATGAGTGAGGTTGCCCTGAAATACAACTGGATGTGTAAGGGTTCACTAGGACTTCACTTATCCTCTTATCCAATAGGGTAATAACAATAAAAGGATTGTATTCTGTTAACATTCAACATTAACATGCTTACATTTACTGCAGCCGGTGATGTTCTCCCAGCCGTCTTTGGTACACTCTAGCTGGTGCTGTTGAGTGGAGTCATTGAAGTAGTATAGAGGGAAACTGCAGGTGGCAGTGATGATGTTGCCCACTCCCCATGTCCTGTTCTCCCAGCTGGTGGTGGCGTTATCGACCTTGGGCTCCACATTGCATAGGAGGCTCGGCTTGACTGTAAACAACAGTTGGCAGGAATTTAGTACTTGTATCATTTATGTGGATAATATTGTTTTGGTTATGAAGAACTGCATAACTCATGGGTTATTATTTAAGTTTATGTACAAGTCAAGATTTAACCAAGTTTCCAATAAATGCAAAAATTCTTTGTATCTCATTATTTATATCAACAATGCTAACAGCAGTGGTCACAACAACTAGATCCAGACATGAATACTGTAGCTGAGACTGTGATGTTTAGTTGACTTAATGAAGCAGAAATATCATATACCACTGAAGACATATGTACGCGAGTGTTTGTGTGTGCACCGCCTTACGTTCATCGCAGGACGGAGTGTTTTGCCAGCCGGTGGAGGTGCAAGACACGAGACGGGATGAGGAACGGACTGTAATGAAGGTGAGGTTGCCAAGGCAGGTGGCATTGACAGCGGACCCCACGGGCCATAAACCATTTGTCCAGTTAGTGGTGGCGTTGACAACTTGAGGCTCGAGAGAGCATACTGCAAGGAAAGGCAGTGGCACCACCACAGATTACCCAACATTATAGTAACTTTTGTATTATTAGAAATAGTGGCAAAGGTCATTCAATGAGCTTTGTCAATGGTAACAGACACAGGAAAAGTACCCATGCCTCTAACTTCAGTTATCCTGTGTAATGTTTTATAATAATATATTCCAGGCACAATGACTGTACTAGAAGGTAAGATTATTATTCCAGATGAAATTGACAATGGTACCACAGAAAGGAGTTATGCTTTTAAGGAAAATCTTCATATTCAAGAATTTAGTAGCCATACACAAAAGATGTTGATGCTGTAATTAAGTGGTTATTGTATCATTAACTTTGGTTGGTGAATAAACTCACCTTTCTGGCAGGAATTTGTGGTCCAGCCATTGCTGGTGCACTGGATGGTGAACTGCTGATTGCCGCTGGGCATGATTACGGCACCGGAGTTGCAGGAGCCGTTCACTGTAGATCCTACTGGATACACACTGGATGACGTCCAAGCTGTGATGGCATTCGACACGCTCGGCGGCTGATCGCACACTGAACCAAATCATTATTATTCAGTGGCGAGTAATGGTGCCAGGGAAAAGACAGATCATCATCAAGGGTCACCACCTGCTCCTTTACCTCCATAACATAATACATAAATATGAATACTATTAATTGCGTAGAGGAGACAAACATGGCGATAGTATGTCACCTTTGGACTATACTATATTATGGTCTAATGAGCCATTAATTTTACTTTGAATAGTCGTTTCAAAATTATCTATTGAAAGAAATCCAATTTGGTCTTTATGAACTATTTGGTTGTAATATGTGCGACTTTAATTTATAAATAATCAAACCTTGATGTCCCAAAACAATTATATAAATTAATGCAAACTCTGAGGGGATGTCATTCTGGAAGAAACACCCATCTTGTGTGGAAGCAGACCACTACTCCTGGGTCAATCTGTTATTACAGCACTGTTAAGACATTCACCAAGCCCAAGACAGGTCAATCTCTCTACCTCATACTAACCAAAACATTAACTGACCTCATACTATTCTGTTATGTAGTAGTTTAGGCAAATATACATGTACAGTACACGAGTAGTTGATAGGTGGTGGTTGAGTGCAGTTATAGGAATGTCTTCCACAAAGTAAGCAATATTTAGATCCTCAAAGTATAGCTTGCAAACAGGTGTTATTAGCTCATATTATTATTTCTTTTGTGAATATAAGTTATCTTGCCAGCAGGAATGGTTCTGGAGACAAATGTAGCACCCACTAATGACTGACATGTGCTAAGGCCACCATATTGGGATCTTCACAAGATAAACCATCTCCAGCCTCCTAGACAACCAAGGCTTATTTTTTTAATAATATAATTATTAATAACATTATGTGATGTGTATAATCAGAATGGATCCTGTCCAGTGGGTGTTGATAACATAATTTAGGCTCGATATTTGGGGCAAATTCTGTTATGGGTCTATTTAGAAGTGTTTCCGAAGTCTAATTAATTGTTAGTCCCATGTACTACTGTATATGTATTCGTGCGTGGCGCATGATCTATCAACCAGGTTGGCCACTTCAACGAAGACCAGAATAACAAGATTCAAAATTTTTAGTCAAGTTTACATAAAGAGGATTTCCCATATCCACTGGATTGTTAAAATTAAACCTAAATGAAAACTACGAACTAACAAGGCCCATTGGGAGCATAGAGTAATCCAATAATTAATACTGTTAATTTAGGCATATAATTTTGGTAATAATTTCCCATATGGGTATAGGGTCCACTGTAGCCCACGGGATGGGTATTGTGTCCATTCCTGCCCACAGGAGGGGTATGGGGTTCACTACAGCCCATAGAATGGGTATGAAATCACCTACTACCCACAGAATTGGTATGGGGGTCCACTACTGCTCACAAGATGGATATGGGGTTAACTACTGCCCACAGGATGGATATGGGGTCCACTACCACCCACAAGATGGATATGGGGGTCCACTACTGCCCACAGGATGGGATTGGGGTCCACTGCTGCCCACAGGATGGGGTTGGGGTTCACTACTGCCCAAAGGATGGGGTTGGGGTCCACTGCTGCCCAGAGGATGGATTTGGGATCCACTATCACCCACAGATTGGATATGCAGTCTATTGTGAATTCACCATTTATCCAATTATATATCCTTTCACCTCATGAAATATTTTACTTCAAATAACACACATTTGTACACCTAAACCCTCGAGTCATACCAACAGATTTGTATTTTAACTCACATGAGAGAACATGCAGAAGGTGATTAAAGGCTGATGGGTTTTCTAATTTAATTATATAAAATAGACTGACAATATTAACAATATAGTGAATTTAACTTGGTTATTTTAGCTACCCTTTCCAATAAACAAAATGGACTTAACTGGTCACCATACACAACTCATCTTCACCAGCCTATGTCTCTAACTTTGAATTGTCACTAACACTCCACACCCGGTTAGTCTCCCATACTGAAGTTACATACTCCCATCTCCACTACTGACGATGGTGGAGGCCAATACCATCAGTAATTTCAAAGCATTACATGACAGTGCTGGGAAGACGGAACACCACGAGCGTAGCTCTCATCCTGTAACTACACTTAGGTAATACTATACTCTCACACTGCAGACTTGACTCGGGTCAACAAGATCACATAGGGTCCCCTCATTTACTTGTTTAGCCATCGTCACTGTCCCAGGTGGTGAGGGAGGACTTGATAGAACCCAGGCTTCCACAAACATGACTTCCTGCCAGTCACAGGCTTCGCCACCACACCCAGCATCGCCAAGGTCATCATAATCAGATCAAATGGAAATCTCCTTGTTTCCAAGAAAGTTAAATCACTCGTATTCCGCCAAGTCGCCCTTTTGTGACCTCTTGGCGGCAATATTAACTTGGGTGGGCTAAAGCTGTCTTAATCCATTTGACCTCACCTTTATGTGTGACCACTAACTACTATGTACCAACACTCCTTCCAACCACCATTTAAGTGTTGTAGTGTTTGATTCACTAGCTAATGCTTATTCCTAACTTGTGGATTACCTGGTTACCTGGTTAATACCTGGTTGATGGGGTTCTGGGAGGAGTTCTACTCCAAGCCCGGCCCGGGGCCAGACTTGACTTGTGAGAGTTCGGTCCACCAGGCTGTTGCTTGGAGCGGCCCGCAGGCCCACATACTCACCACAGCCCGGTTGGTCCGGCACTCCTTGAAGGAAACAATCTAGTTTCCTCTTGAAGATGTCCTCAGTTGTTCCTGTAATATTTCTGATGCTCGCTGGTAGGACGTTGAACAACCGTGGACCTCTGATGTTCATACAGTGTTCTCTGATTGTGCCCATGGCACCTCTGCTCTTCACTGGTTCTATTCTGCATTTTCTTCCATATCGTTCACTCCAGTACATTGTTATTTTACTGTGCAGATTTGGGACCTGACCCTCTAGTATTTTCCATGTGTATATTATTTGGTATCTCTCTCGTCTCCTTTCTAGTGAGTACATTTGGAGAGCTTTGAGACGATCCCAATAATTTACGTGCTTTATCTCGTCTATGCGTGCCGTATATGTTCTCTGTATTCCCTCAATTTCAGCAATCTCTCCTGCTCTGAAGGGGGACGTGAGTACTGAGCAGTACTCAAGACGGGACAACACAAGTAATTTGAAGAGTACAACCATTGTGATGGGATCTCTGGACTTGAAGGTTCTCGTAATCCATCCTATCATTTTTCTGGCTGACGCAATACTTGCTTGGTTATGCTCCCTAAACGTTAGGTCGTCGGACATCATTATTCCCAAATCCTTGACATGTTTTCCTACTATGGGCAGATTCGATTGTATTTTGTACCCTGTATTATGTTTAAGATCCTCATTTTTGCCATATCTGAGTACCTGGAATTTATCACCGTGAAACATCATGTTATTTTCTGCTGCCCAATCGAAAACTTTGTTAATCTCTGTAGTTTATCAATGTCTTCAGCAGAGGTAATTTTTATGATTACTACAGATTACTACAGGCCCACTGCCATCCACACGAAGGGCATGGGATGCATAGTAAATAAATAAAGTTATGAACTCTCTTGGCTAAGAGTAAGTTGCCAAAGTTTCAATTGAATACCAGTCCCAAGTGTGTCATTTTATTTTCTACCTGTTTATCTTTAAAATTAACTACTGCAAGAGGAAAGGCTATGTCACTGGCAAAGGATATAACAACTTGTATACCAACTGAAAAAGGATGTACAGTACTAGTTCATGAAGAATGTATAGCCTCCAGCAGACTTCCATACATACTGGACAAACGTCTACAGCAGCAAGACTTACCTGGGACACAGCCAGTCCTGTTCTGCCACCCCTGGCTGGTACACATGATGGGTTGGGTCTTGGTAGCCTCTGGCAGGAACATGTAATGTTGAGAGCAGGTGGCGGTTGGGGCCTCCCCCACCGCCCACATTACGTTTTGCAGGTCCACTGTGGCATTCTGCACCACTGGGTTTCTCAGGCATACTGTTGGAGAGCACCCAACACCATCAGTCATAGATATTGATACAGAGACTAACATTAAAGACTAATGGGGAGGCACAAGTAAGCCAGCAGCCTTAGGGCTTCCAGACACTCGCAACCATCACGTGTAGCTGGTTTAGGACTCTTCTTTTACTCCTTAATTTCAATTATATTTCAGTCCTTGAATCTTTAGTTGAATCTAAACACAAAATGCTGAACAGTCTAGACTCTAGTCTATTAATAACATACATACGAGAAAAGATGTAATAACATGCAAAAGTTAGAAAGATTGAGGAATGCTATCAAGTGAGTTGTTGAACTAAAGTATATTGTTTAAATTACAGTTGACAAATAGTGAAAAAGTGGATGAAATGACATGATTCATCAAAGTCAAGTATTATGCTCCGACAAAATAGAGGATTGGAGCAATACATAGCACACTTAACTATTTTAGCTGCAGTGGCATTTAGCCAGGTTAAAGCATATCACATTAATAATCTCTAATGTGACATTTACTTCTCACCATAATCACTAATGACACTTGCAATTATATTCACTAACCATTAATGACATCTGTAATTATATTAATACATACTCCCAAATGTTCCATGAATCACTTAGGAAAGCCGAAAGTAACTAGCGAGTTTCCCATCAGGACAATTGATGAATTTACCAGAAGCAAACTGGCAAGTACAAAGTCAGGTGAAGCATAGATATGTAACAATGTAACATAATCAGTCTAACTCCAATAGTGGTTCAGTTACAAATGCTCATGAAATACTGTAGATCATCTCCTACATCACTGACATTCATCAGCATACAATGTATCACTTGACCAGTCTAATTCCCACTCTCATGCAAGACGCTACAGCCTCACTGCAGAACAGACAGCCAGTTCTGGTCTTATTCGAGCTACCCACTCATCCTTCATTTGAGCTCTCCGATCCCACCCTCTTTCAAGCTCTATGCTCTTGCCCTGCTCTGAGCTCTTGACTCCAAGTCTCGCACAAGCTCTTTGTCTCCAGCCACTGTCAGTACTACGTCCTACATGATTCTACCAGCAACATGTAACAAGCATCCTCACCTCAACCTAAAATGGTACATTATACCATTTCTAACACCTAATCAAAACTGTATTAAATATAAAACACCAGCGTTGAATGTAATGAAACGTCATTTTTGGTATAGCCCCGGAGGCTCCCTGGAGCTATTGGACTGATATTAGCTAATATTAGTACTGTACAGGGTCAGGCACCCAGAAAGGTAGGCACCCCAAAACAAACCCTATCTGGTTAAAAAATTGGTACTGAAAGCCGAACTGTTGGACAGAACTTCCCAAATTAAAAATGAGCGAACGAGCACGATGTCACATGACCACAACTGTCGCCGCTGTCTGTGCAGCTCCCCCCGTCCCCGGGAGAGGGAAGGTGGAGCTCCAGACACCCCACTCCCAACCCCCTGCGCCGGCTATCCACCCCAGTTCTGATGCTGATGTGAGACTTGGCAGTCATGCGACTCTGGCTCCTGACATTCCAGTGCTGTGCCTTGTGGTGTGGTCCTGTTTCGTGGTGGTGTGTGAGCTAGGAGTAGTTTCACCAGTAATCGGGCTGCATGCGTCTAGGGTTACCTTCACTAGGTGCCCTGTAAGTACTACCCTTGGGGCTTGGGGTTCTCTTCCAAAAGTCACTTGGGGTCTACCTCCACTGTGATCTTTTGCTGCTTGCTGATTGTCCGCCCTTGGAGTCAGTTGGGGTGTTTCATATACCACTGTTTGCCTCTGGGTAGGAGGTAATTTCGTCACTGGTATAGGTACTGTGCAGTTTGTTTTCACCATAATATAGCGGCCGGCTCTGTTCCGCCTGTGATGTCCTCTTGCATTTTTTTTCTTTTTTGTTTGCTGCTTCTTATCTTGAGGTTATCTTGATTTCGGGGCTTTTTAGTGTCCCCGCGGCCCGGTCCTCGACCAGGCCTCCACTCCCAGGAAGCAGCCCGTGACAGCTGACTAACACCCAGGTTCCTATTTTACTGCTAGGTAACAGGGGCATAGGGTGAAAGAAACTCTGCCCATTGTTTCTCGCAGGTGCCTGGGATCTAACCCAGGACCACAGGATCACAAGTCCAGCGTGCTGTCCGCTTGGCCGACCGGCTCCTTGGTGTCTGGTCCAAGGAGTCCAATGTCCAAGGTCCATAACCCCCCCTCCACCACTGCTTGGTGGGGGAGGGGTATGCCTCTTGGTGTTGTTGACCTTTATATATACTGACTGTATATATATTCTTGGTGATCCTCGACTAGGTCCCTGTGAGTGTACACGTCACAGGGGTTCAACATTTAGTAGTTCGTTTGGTAGTTTGGGGCACTGGTTAGCAGTACTTTACCTTCGCTTCTCTTAGAAGAGCATTTAAGGGCCCTGGAAACCCCCACTGGGGCTAGGTGGTCTAATGGATGCCTTCCCTGGGTCTCATCTCGCTTCGTGCGAGTTGGAAAGGTGCCCTGTCCCCGTGTCTCAGGGTGACAATCACCATTTCTGCCTCTTTCATACTGCTGCCTGTTGGGTTAGTGACACCTTCAATCTGGAGTCCTACAAGTGGTGTTGCTTGCTTGTACTCAAATTCACCCAATCCACTGATCTTTATGTTCCAGTACTGGTGGTTTCAGTGTTGCATGTGCGTTTTAGGTTGCTGCAGCACTTCCAGGTTGGTTGCTCACCCGGATGCCCCGAGACTGCCCCGTTTTGGTTATATGGACTCGGACTGCAGGCGGGACACTATTAGAGAAGCCACCTGGTCACCATACATATGGTGATACACCTGTGTCAAACTCCAGACATGAAGCATAGAAGAGTAGAGCGAACCAGCAAGGTACCTTACTGGCCCAAACTACTGAAAGAGGCGGAGTCGCGGAAAACGCCCCGGGTTCGGACACCATGGGACCATAGGCTGCGCCGGCCACCATGAGGCCACAAGAAGAACACTCCCTAGATAGAACTCGAGCCGAGCCAGGAGCCTATAGGAGGGCCACTCAAAAATCCTAGGTAGACGAATATTCAAGCCAGACAGGCCCCCTCCTGGAAGGAAGAAACAAAAAAGAAAAACCCTGCAAAAGGACAACAACAACATGGGAACAGTAAACACGGCCGCCGCTAAGAGGCAAGTTGTGCAGCACCTTGTGCCCCAACCAGCAACAACACTCCCTACCCAGAGCCAAATAAAGGTCACGAAAACCCCAGCTGGACCCTAAGGTGGGGTCAATGCCGAGTAGCAGGAACCCCTACAGAAGTGGGATCCCAATGGCCCTAGGGAAGGCAACCCTAGAACCAAAGGGTAGTACTTACAGGGTGCTCAGGGAAGGGAACCCTAAGTGCATGCAGCCTTAGTACACTAATTACGCCTGACCACCGCACCACAACAGCAGACACACCACAAGGGCACAAATCCTGGCAGGAAACTGAGGCCAGATCCGACAACTGCCCCAGCAGACTTCAGTCTATGCACTGGAGAGTGGGCAGCCGGCGAGGGGTCCAGGCTGAGCGGTGTGGTGCAGCGCGGGGGGAGGGGGGCTGAGGATATTTGCTTATTTGCTTGTTTCCTTGTTTCTTGTTGGAGGAGTTCTGGTTCCATGTTCGGTCTTTGGTTCAATTTTTCTACCAGGTGCAGTTTGTTTTGAGACGTCTATCTTCCTGGGTGCCTAACCCCAGTCAAAGGCAGATGGAAGACTCCCAAAAAACAGTGGGGGTTTTTCTTGGGCCATTACTCCCTGCATCTCTAAGGGGACCAGGTTCTGGCTCATGGTCCCTGGGAGGCAGAACTCCTTCGACTGAAGCCCCAGACTAATATAGGTAATATCAATCCGATAGCTACATGGAGTCGGAGGGGATCTCCACAGAAAACGCACATAAAATCTTGCAAAACGGGGCAGAAGTAACATCCACCCCGAAAGCAAGCTGGAGTAGTTCCGCCAACGCCGCATGATACGAAGCGACAGTATTCGGCACGAGATGCCACCCCAAAAAGATCCGAAAAAGAGACAAAACCCAGACCAAAACCGAAGAAAACCTCCTAAGAGAAAGGAACTGACAAAGACCGACAAGAGATTTCACACTGTTATCTTGAGATGATTTCGGGGCTTTTTTTTTTTAGTGTCTCCGCGGCCCGGTCCTCGACCAGGCCTCCACCCCCAGGAAGCAGCCCGTGACAACTGACTAACACCCAGGTACCTATTTTACTGCTAGGTAACAGGGGCATAGGGTGAAAGAAACTCTGCCCATTGTTTCTCGCCGGCGCCTGGGATCGAACCCAGGACCACAGGATCACAAGTCCAGCGTGCTGTCCGCTCGGCCGACCGGCTCCCTGACCTTCCTCCCTGTTGCCGGGAGGAAGACCACAGGTGGGACACCATTTAAGGAAGCCACCTGATCACCATAGGAATGGCAATACACCCACATCAGAAAGACCAGACGCAAAGCGCGGAGCAGTAGACCGAACCAGCCAGATACCGCACTGGCCCGATCTGTTGCTAGAGGCAAAAACGCCCAGGTTTGGACACCAAGCAACCAGTACCCGAAACCAAGGTTAGGCCGGCCACCCATGGAGCCAGAAGAACCCTCTCCTTGTAGGATTCCAAGTGAGTCAGAACGTGGAGCAACAGCTGGACTGGGGAAAAGTGGTACAGGGTACAGGAACCCCCACTGAGATCAGTTCTGCCGAAAAACATTGAACATGACAACTTGCAATCTGGGAACAGCTCCATGTACAAAGGAAGACATCCCAAGCCCCAGGAAACCCTCACCTGGGTCCCTGGGGCAGAGCTCTTCTCCACACCCACCCCCCCTGTAGAAAAGACACGTCCCAACCCTTTTGGTTGGTCGCTGAAGCGACCAATGCATCCCCAAAAATCCTGGTCCCTAAAATCCAAATGGGGCAGCTCCCGGGTTTCCAACCTGGCATGAAGCAAGGAGAAGTGAGCTTGCAACACCGTCGCTGCTAGAAACCCCTTATCCACAGATGAGGAATGCATACACAGCGGCACAAGCGGAGAACACGTCCCGCAAGATTCAGGGTCGAAGGTGTCACCGACGCAACAGGCAGCATGGCAGAGGCAGAAAGGGTGATCATTGCCCCGAAGCAGGGGAGACGTGCGTGCGTGCGTGTGTGTGTGTGTGTGCGCGCGTGCATGCGTGCGTGTGTGTGTGTAATTACCTAAGTGTAATTACCTAAGTGTAGTTACAGGATGAGAGCTACGCTCGTGGTGTCCCGTCTTCCCAGCACTCTTTGTCATATAATGCTTTGAAACTACTAACGGTCTTGGCCTCCACCACCTACTCACTTAACTTGTTCCAACCGTCTACCACTCTATTTGCGAATTGTGTGTGTGTGTGCGCGCGCGTTCTGCTAAAAAGTGGGCAAACTAATTTGCTTGCAGAGTCACTAGTTTCGGTTTGTATAATTTCTTGCAAGAGTGTTTCTTTGCTCTTTTGGGCTGAAGGTCGCGTGTAACCAGCTAGTTGCTTGTTTTGGTTCGCCTATCTTTCTGGGCTACTACCCCTGTCGATTGCAGAATAAGACAATACTTTCAATGAAAAGTGCTCATACGCCATTGCTCCCTGCGAGGGGACCAGGTCCTTGCTCGTGGTCCTCGGTAGGCTCTGAACTCCAAGTAACTGATGACCCGAAACTAATAAAGCACATATCAGTTCAGTTAGCTTTAGGGAGCTGATGGGATTTCCCCCAAAGAGTGCAGTTGATTATTTGACACACAATTAGAGAATGCGGTTGATGTATTTTTACAATGAAAATTTACCTTGCATGCAGATTGGGGTGTTGTCCCAGCCGTTCTGTGTACAATAGACTGGACGTGTCTGAGAATTGAGTTTAGGGAAGTAGAGATTTCCAAGGCAGTTTGCTGTAACGTTTTCGTTAACTGTCCACATGTCGTCCACCCAATTGGTTGTTGCATTAGTCACATTTGGCACCTCCAGACACACTGCAGGAAGAAATAAATTAATGCTAAACCCACACATTAAAACATGAAAACCCACCACATTTTGGCCCAGGAAGGACACAAACTTTACGTAAAATTGAGATTTGTTAATTTGTTCCAGACACTACTGTAACTTATTTATTTAAGTAAGGGTAACTTAACAATTGCAGGATGAAGGGCATTAAAGAATCAATCAGAAAATGTAAGAAAAAGATTACTTCGGATGGTACAATGCTTGATGAGGGAATAGGAGAAAAATAGGTTGTGAGAAGATTTTAGTGTGAGGAAAAGTGCCAGGACTTGGCCCATCAAGCTGAAAATGTTGTTGATAGAAGTGTTGGAAGGTAAAGCATTCTCAAGGCATTGGAATCATGTATGCCCTGCTCAAGGTATTGGTAGTCGGCACACACTGAAGTATCAGTGCACATAAATGACAAAATGGGTGTCATCAGATTTGCATGTATAATTAGAGGCAAGTTTGGGCATAATGTATAATATAATTTGACATGAATTGGGGTTACCGACAGGTACTGTATAATTTTGATACTTGTATACTTGCTTGTCTGTCATTTGTTTCCAGTATATGTTAATGGGCTGCATGTCTTCTCTGATTTAGAGGCCTATGGCATTCGTTTGGGTGACGTGAGTATTTATTCTAAGGTTGTTGTCGAGTTTTAACTTAAACACTGTGGCAGTTTTGGGAAGATGAGTATGTGGGCATAAGGGGTCCCAAGTATAATTTAATACTATGGGTGCGAGAAGCTGCACTGGGAGAGATGCTGGGGCGGAAGAGATTACAGTGTATGTGTGCACGAGTGTGTAATTACCTGAATTACTTAGGTGAAGTTACAGGATGGGAACTAATCTCGTGGTGTCTATTCTTCCTGGGACTCTTTGTCATATGACACTTTGAAACTATTGACTGTTTTGCCATCTACCACTGCCTCAATTTGTTCCAACTGTCCACTAATCTTTTTGCAAAAGTGAACTTTCTAATGTTTTTTTCAGCAGCTTTGTTTCCTTAGTTTAAATCTATGATATCTTGTTTTTGAATGTCCGGGTTTCAAGAATTCTTCCTTATCTATTTTTGTTTTCTTTCCTGTTAATATTTTGTATGTAGTGATAATATTGTTATTTTTTCTTCTAGCTTTGGCATGTTTAACACATCTAGCCTTTCTTAACAGCTCTTGTCTTTCAGTTCTGAAACTCATTATGTTGCATGTTTTTGTACCTTTTCCAGTTTACTGATGTACTTCTTAAGATATGGACAACTGCTACTGTAGTCCGTGGCAGCAGTTCATTGTATTCACAATACAACTGCTGCATATTCCAGTTTTGGTATCACAAAAGTTGTTAACAATTTCTTTAGTATACATACACATAATTTAAATAAACCATCTATATATTTAAAAGTGATTCTGAAATTGGAAAGTTTAGCATAAGCTTCGCCAATTTCCATAAGCTCCATAATGTTCTTTGTGTGTTCTTCTGGTCACAGTCTACTATCCAGAACCACACCTAAATCTCCTTGTTGATTAGTTCTTTAAATCTCTCCACATAATTTGTAAGTTGTGTGTGTGGCCTATTTTATCCTATTCCACATCCCATAACATGGAAAAATTCACCATAAATTCCATTTACCACATGGTGACCATGCACTTATTTTGTCTAGATCATTTTGAAGGGCATGACAATTGTCAAAGTTTCTTATCTTCCCTAGTACCTGGATATTACCTGGAGAGGATAATGATAGTTCTTATATTCCCCAAGCCTGGCCTGGGGCCAGACTCTTCTTGTGATAACTTGGTCCAATAGGCTGTTGCTTGCTCCTGCTGAAAGGCCGACATATCCACTACAACACAGTTGGTCAGCAAGCATCATCAGCAAACCCAATTCATATAACTCTGTATTCCTTCTGGTTGATCATTTATACAGACAATGCACATTACTAGTACAACTGAACCTAACTGCATTGTCATGCTGAAGGGCATGTAACTCCAATTGGATACATTGCCTCTCATTACTGCCCTCATTTTTCTCTCAGAAAATTTTTCATCCATGTTAGAACCCTACCTGTCACTCCGCCATTATGTTCCAGTTTTCAGAACAACTTCATATGTGGAACACTGTCGAAAGCATTTTTTGGGTCCAGATAGATGCAGTCAACCCAACCATCTCTTTCCTGTAAAATTTCAGTTGCTCGATCATAGAAACAGTAAATTCGTTACACAGGATCTTCCAGATCAAAAATCATACTGTCTGTCTGATATTATATAGTTTTTCTCCAGGTGTTCTACCCAATTAGTTTTAATAATTTTTTCCAATATTTTGACTATTACACTTGTCAATGATACAGGTCAATAATTAAGGGGGTCTTCCCTGCTGCCACTTTTGTAGCAGTTTGCACTTTGGAACTATGTTAGCCTACACACCAACTAAAACACCTGTACACAGGGATGCCTGAAAAATCAGTTGAAGTGTAATGCTGAGCTCAGGTGCACATTCTCTCAGAACTCATCGTGAAACTCCATCTGGGCCAACTGCTTTGTTCTTACTTAGCTCTTTGAGCATTTTTTCCACTTCGTCTCTAGATACCTCTATGTGCTCTATATTGTTCTCTGGCATTCTCTTGTGCTCTATATTGTGTCTGGTTCTCTGAGATTTAATTTTGTACAAACACACTTTGGAACTTTTCGTTTAATGTTTCACACATTTCCTTTTCATTTTCTGAGAATCTGTTTCCCATTTTCAACCTCTGCATATTATCCTTTACCTGCAATTTGTTGTTAATGAATCTATAGAATAGGCCTAGTTCTGGTTTACATATGTCCACAATCCCTTTTTCAAAATTTCTTCTCTGCCTCTCTCCTCACTGCCGTGTACGTGTTTCTAGCATCTTTGTATCGCTGGTAAGTTTGGGGGTTTGGCCTCTTCCTATATTGATACCATTTTTATGTCTTTTGGTCTCTGGCACTCTCGCAATTTCTATTGAACCAATCCCGTTTGCTAGTTCTGCATCTCTGCTTGGTATAATTTGACTTTGTGCCTTTATCATATATTTCACAAAACTTGATATACATATCACTTCCTTGCCTAACAGCAAGTTTTTCCAGTCAAATTCCTTAAAAAAAATTCTAAGTTCCCCATAATGACCTCTCCTGAAATCAGGTATTTCAACTGCTTCAACCTCATTTTCATTTTCATTCATTTCATTCAATTCCTCATTTTCTTCCAGATTATAATGTATTGCATACTTTATTCCCAAAAAGACATGGTTACTTTTATCCAATGGAGGAAGGTACTGAATGTCAAATATCTCTTCCTCTTTCCTGGTAAATATCAAATCCAGCATGGAGGGAATATCCCCTTCCCTCATCCTCGTAGCTTGTTTAACGTGTTGATACACTGTACATGAATGTTTCTAGGATGACGTTTACGAATCTACAAATCCAAAAGTCCTCTGTTTTAGCTTCATATGCATCTCAGTCTATGGATTTCAAGTTGAAGTCGCCGACTACCAACAGTCGTTATTTATCCTATACTGCTCTCACTATACTCCCTCTCATTATTGTTATAAGACCCTTTCGTTTATTGCCCAGCTCCTCCTTTGTCCATGTGTTGCATGGCGGTAGACTATATGCATTTATAATCATTAGTTTATCATCCTGATTGCAGATCTCCAGTGCTATTATGTTAACTTCTCGTGGATTGACAATCATTATTTCATTTACCTTTAGGTGTTCTTTCAGCAGCAGAGCAACGTCACCGCCTTTCCTAATTTTTCTGTCCTGTCTCCAAACTGAGTATAGCCCCTTGGGAATATAACTTCATATAAAATACAGTATCATCTTCAAGTTTCATCTCTGTGAGTGCAACAATGTCTGGTGTCTGCAGCTGTATTATATCACTTAACTCCAGTATATTTGATCTCACTCCATCTATGTTGATGTATACAATTTTCTGGAACATATTCCCTCTCTCCTTATTCTTCACTTCTCCTTTCTTTAGTGTGTGTGTGTGTTTTTGTATTTGTTTTCAATACACACTACAGTATCATACATAATTGTGGCTGATTATCTAAATCTTATCAGTACCTCTTTGACATGGCAGCATCTGCCAGCCCGAAATGGTGCAGTTGACCAGCTGTTGGGTAACATTGTGGGCCACCTGGTAACTAGGGTCGCAGGTGGCATTGGCTTGGTCTCCGATAACCCACACTGTCTTAGATGCGAAGGTCGTATTAGCGAAACTCAGAGACGGAGCTTTAAAACACCCTGAAAGAAGGAAAAGTTGTAGTGTGTCAATAGTAATGAATCGGAAACAGTAGCAATACATTTGTAACAAGACAACAGATAATTTTAGGGCCTTTGCTCTTAACACTATGGAGCAGAGAAACAAGGGAGAATAGTCTTGATGATCTGGTAAACTCATTACTAGATATTATGTTCCTAAGAGATTTCAATCTACCCAGTCTAAGATGGAGGTTAGCAAACAATAACGTTATATCAAGAAATCTATCTGGAAATAATCAACCAAAGGTCAGGGAACTACTTAGTTTCCCTGACAAATTTTTGCTCAACCAGCAGATTACACAGCCAACTAGAAATGAAAAATACTCTTGACCTGATCTTTACAAACAGTAAATAAATAATCAGGGACATTACAATTTCAAATACCAATACTTAGGTCACAAGATCACGCTAACATCTGTGCTCATAATAGATCCAAAAAAAATTATGAAGCAAGAAGTGTTATTCAACAAATTCAATTTTAACACTAAGAGGATTGACTGGGTTCCTTACCGTCATCAGGGAAGTAATTTTAATATCAGAAAAGAATCACATTTTTTTAAATAATTTTTTCTTGTACACCACGGGATGGTTTAATTTGAAGGCTGTGCAGTACCAGGGTTAAATTTAAATATATACAGTATATACATGTGTGTGTGTTGGGGGGTATGTATTTCATGCATAAATAAGTGAGGCTGCCAATTACTTATTTAATTTGCTTAATGCTAATTTACATATAAATTAATGCTTATTTATTTATAAATTAATGTTTATTTATATATAAATTAATGCTTATGTATAAATTAATGCTTATTCAGCTGTAAATAATGCTTATTTTTATAAATTAATGCTTATTTACATGTAAACTAATGCTTATTTGTGTACATTAATGCTTATTTATATGTAAATTACCTTTTAAATTATAAATTATCGTAATATTTGAGTACAGTATGTGTAAATTAATGTTGAGTTCTCATTAAGTGTTTAAATGACCATAGTACAATTACACTTACTATTACACACAGTAACATTGGTTCTGTCGTAGGCGTAGGTGCCATTGTATTCCGTGCAAGTGAGGACCTGTGTGTGCTCCCCATCCATGTTGGTCATGTCATCACTTTGGCAGGAGTAAGAGACGCTGTAGGTCTCGTAGCGCGGGTGATCTCCTAAATGCTGCGTCATGTTCGGTGGTATTGGCGGAAGCGTCTCATTGCAAACTGGGAGAGAATGAGGCGAGAGTAATGGTGTAAATTACCCGAAACGCTATGCCCGAAACCCGAAACGCTATGCGTATTTGTGGCTTTACAAGAATGCAAACATACTATACTATGTACTCTCATAAACCCACTGTACCTTCTTGAATAAATAAATTAATAAATAAATAAATAAAAATAAATAAATTGTAGCCCTTCATCGAAATAATGGGCCGTCGGGTTCACAGCATATAAAGTCAAATAATGAATTGTCTATATCTACACGAGTCAGAAACTCAAACCTGCTTCGTGTACTCAGCCTGTATTGCAAGCACTTCCTAAATCAATGTAACCAAAAGACCTTACTTAAAATAAAATAATAAAACAAAATAAATAAATGTTTATTCAGGTAAGGTACATACATACAAGAGATTTAAAAAAAAATTGATAGGTTTATAGATAGGGCTAGTACATACAATGCCTAAAGCCACTATTACGCAAAGCGTTTCGGGCAGGAAAAACATTAAAGACTAAAACTTAATACTAATTGAGTTTAAAGTATAAAGTGTGTTGAGAACAAATAAAAATAAGAATAAGAAAGGGGGGAACATGGTTGAAAAAGCAGCACAAATATAATTAGGTCGACAAACATCTGTGTTTAAAAAAAAAATAAAAAAAAAACAGACATGGGTTGACAATACAGAGGTAAGGTAGGTTACAGGGAATTTATTAGGTAGTGCTTCATTTTTATCTTAAATTGATTGAGAGAGGTACAGTCTTTAACATGATTGGGAAGGTCATTCCATATTCTAGGTCCCTTGATTTGTAGAGCATTTCTAGTTTGATTAAGTCATACTCTTGGAATATCAAAACTGTATTTGTTTCTGGTGTGGTGCTCATGGGTTCTGTTACAACCTTCAATGAAGCTTTTGAGGTCAGGATTGACATTACAGTTCAGCATTTTATATATGTATAATACACATGAGAGAATGTGCAGTGACTTAATGTCTAACATATTCAGAGATTTGAGTAGGGGTACCGAGTGATGTCTGGGGCTAGAGTTGGATATTGTCCTAATAGCAGCTTTGTGTTGAGTAATTAGAGGATGTAAATGATTTTGGGTAGTAGAACCCCAAGCACAAATACCATAGTTGAGATATGGATAGATGAGGGAGTAATAGAGCGTCACCAGGGCAGGGCGGGGTACATAATATCTGATCTTAGAAAGAATGCCAACAATTTTTGAAACTTTTTCTGATATATTTAGAATGTGTCCCTGGAAATTCAGCTTGTGGTCAATGAGAACGCCAAGGAATTTGCCATCTATTTTGTTACAAATTTGGGTATTGTTTATTCTGAGATTTATTTGATTAGAGGATTTATTGCCAAACAGAATATAGAAAGTTTTGTCAATGTTAAGGGTGAGTTTGTTGGCAGTTAGCCAAAGATAGACTTAACCTTACACAGACTTTACATAAACCCACAATATAAAATATTAATTTACACTTGAGAAAAACTTTATTGTAACACGTGAAAGATTCAGTGTCAGTTGGTTGTCTGCTGTACAAGTCAAATACTGACTTATTAAAATCTACATGCCAGTATTTAACCTCTAGCTTGGGCTGGAGGATTGGTTGAACTGTTAGCTCCTTACATACATAAAACAAGACATGTGGGACAATAATTGAGCTAAAAACCATGTGAGCCAACATATTGAACATGCAGATGAGGAGTCACAATAACGTGGCTGAAAAATGTTGATCAAATCACACACTAGAAAGTAAAGAAACGACGACGTTTCGGTCCGTCCTGGACCATTATCAAGTCGATTGTGATAATGGACTTGATAATGGTCCAGGACAGACCGAAACGTCGTCGTCTCTTCACTTTCTAGTGTGTGTGGTTTGGTCAACATATTTAACATAATGAAAGTGCCTATTGCACCTCTGCTTATCAGTGGGGCTTTTGCACATCCTTCCATGCCTTCTGGTATCATGTGGTGTTATTTCTGTATGAAATTTTAGAACCAGTCTTTCTAATATTTTCCAAATTGAAATTATCATGTATCTCTTGCCTGTGCTCTAGGAAATACATATTTAATATTTTTAGATCGTCCCAATAATTAAAATGTTTTATTGAGTGAATTCTAGAAGTAAAAGATCTTTGCATGCTCTCCAGGTCAGCACTCTCTCTAGTTTTGAATGGGGGCTATCAGTGTTTAACAATATTCCACTCTAGAGAGCACTGTCTTAAAAATAGGCTGACACTTAGGAAGGAAGGCAGGCTACAGAGTTTATTAGGTAGTTCTTAGTGTCTGTTTAAAAGTGGTTGAGTTTGTTATTGTTTGAATTGCCAGGTTGTGTTGAGTAATAGGTCGTAAATAATTTTGGGTAATAGAACACCAGGCACAGATACCATAGGTGAGATAAGAATAAAGATGAGCAGGTCATAAAGAATTACCAGGGCAGTGAGGAACATAGTGTTGATTTTAGAAAGAATGCAAACCATTGAAGAATTTTTTGTTATATATTTAGTATATGGCACTAAATTCAACTTCCAAGGTAAGGTAAGGTATCAATGAGAACATCAATGAATTTACCATCTACTCTGTTACTAATTTGGATATTGCTAATTCTCAGGTTAACTAGATACTTAATTAGTAAATAAAATACAGAAGGTTTTATCAATGATAAGTGTGAGTTTGTTAGCAGTTAACCAAAGTGGACTTTCTTTAGTTCAGTATTCACAGTATCCTTCAGAATAAGAGTTAGGACTGTAAAATATGAAGGTTGTGTCATCAACAGATAGAACTGGCTTAAGGTGTTGAAAGGCATTTAGAAGGTCATTGATGGTGTAGGTTTTTGAAAGGAAGTGAGATGGGGGAAGGTGTAGCAAAACAGTCGAGACAAAACTCACCATCTACACCAATACAAGGTATGAGGGGTGGATGTCTTGGGAACCAGCCACCTAGCTGACCATGGCACCAAAGGTACTGCTTGGTCTTGTTGCCCACATCAGCATTCACGAAGAATCCGGGCCAGCAGCTGTGATGATGCAACACAACACCTTAATGAGTTCATCCTCTTATGGGGTGTAATCACTATGTGCAACACTTAGATTGAGTCCATCCTTAAACTTTAAGTGGGACACTATTCATTGACAAATTTAACTTAGAAGAATTTATTAAACTGAGAGATGCCCTTTGAAATTCATTATGAAATGTGATTGATTTTTTTTTGGGGGGGGCGGGGGGGGAATGCATTTCCAGTTTTAATGGAGATGACCTTTCTAGATTTATAAGAAACCAACATTTTTTGCTTCAAGGAAGCTGGCATTTCAAGATACATAGTAATGAGACACTCCCAGTTTTAAAAGGAAGAAATTATAAATTATTTTCATTACTTGACAATATAATGTCTTTAAATATTTATTAATTTTTAGTAAAATAAGGTTAATAAAAATTAATTAATTAATCAATAATTTTCTAATATTTTTTATTTTAAATGTATGTGTAGCTTACCTGTATTCCAAGGTCTGATTTATAATGCTACCACCGAGTATGCCTCTCACTGACATGTTTTCGTACGGGGGATACCACTCCCAGCACCCTGCCAGGGATATGGAAGAAATTTTATCGACTAAAAGATATAGCTACCATTGATTTGTTTACATATTAGGGGTATTGGTGAAAAAGTTCCAGTTTCGTTGCCATTTGAGGTACATTTCTCCCAACCCCAAACCAAGAAAATATCAGGAATTTGTTACTGTTCCAAGTGCATCTCTCCCAGAACCCTACCAAAGGAGTACCATGGATTAGTTACTGTTCCAAGTGCATCTCTCCCAGCACCATACCAAAGAAGTATGCTGCAAGTGGTATAGGAAACTGTTTTTAGGTTCAGTTTGTCCCTTGCAAGATGTCTATTACAATGGCTTATTCTGGTAGGTTAGTTACTCCTTTTTTATTGTTTGTTGCATTGGTTGTGATTCTCTTGCGACAGACCTACAGGTTATAACACTGATCTCTCTGTAGTTTGTTTATGTTTACTCTCCTCAAATGCCAATATCCATTTACAATAATTTTCTCACCAGTGTAAGCATTTATGATTTTATTCTTCCACATCATCTTGCCTTTATTTCATAGGACTGTAATAATCGTGTCTTCAAAATCACTGATGCAAATGAAACGACAGATGCTTTGAGGAGGGAGAAAATCTGCAAGATTAATTCAAGTATAATTTATAATTTTATTCATAAGAATGTGTGCACAAAGAATATAAGAGGAAGGGACAATGGTAAGGACAGGTGTTACACATACAAATGAAGTATGCAAAGTATTTCAGGCTTAGAAATACATGATGAGGATGACTACAGTTGACTATAGAAACCTTGACTCTGCCAGGGTCACCACACTGTAGGCTGCTCCACCAATCACAAACTTCATTGATCAACCTGCCTAATGTCAGAAAGTGTTACCAGATGGATGCCGTTTCTTAGATTAGGATAGTGTCAACCTTATGACAATCATACTCTTGTCACCCACTAAAGGTTTTTATACAGTACTGCCATTTATTTATTTTACTTTGTACAGTAGTTCTCTTTTAGTGTGATTTGGTCCACATAATCTGCTTATTTAAATTAGCATCTCTAGGCCAGAAAATTTATTTAAATTAGCATCTTTAGGCCAGGTTTGCAGCTCAGAAAAAGACAGTGATGTAGCATTGATTTTGGATGTACAATATTTAATAAAACTAGCATTAAGACACATTCCCCACTATATCATAACATCTCCAAAGAAACAATCAGAATCATAAGACCATAAGATATAGGCATCAGCCAACTGTGCCTGTTGGCCCATTCCGGGCCGTTTCCATCAAGATCCAACCACTCTCACCATACATCTGTCAAGATTATTGTTAAGACTAACTATACCTTGCATTTATAATGTTGGACAGTGACCTATTCCATTTCTCTACCACCCTGTTACAAAGCCAATATTTCCCCATATCCTTCCTGACTCTGAACTTCTCCATCTTAACGCCACTGTTACGGGTTCTAACCTTGTCTGATAGTTTCAAGACTTTGCTCATATCTCATCTGCTGATACCTATTTTCCACCTGAAGACATTAATCATGCATTCCCTCTCCTGCCCACGTAATATAGGCCGAGCATCCTTAACCTCTCCTCGTTCGTAAGATTCTAAATACCTGAGATCTGCCTGGACATCCTACATTTGATTTTCTTGAGGGAATCTTCATCCAATATATAATACATTGACCAGTACTGGTCTGACCAGGGCCAAATATAATTGAAGGATGATGTTTGTGCATTTATTACTGATGCTTCTGGTTATGATCCCAAACATTTTATTTGCTGGGTGTGGCAAAAGGAGAGAAAATAGTCACATGACCACAAGTTTCTTTGCAGTTATTTCCCAAAATCTACATCATTCATCTAGTAGATGAATACATTGCATTAAGGACACTGCCAGAAGAGATACCATTCATGTGGGAAGATGAGAAATCTGTTCATATAGGTGTCTTATCCTTAGTGCAACACAAATCCACCAACCAACCATCCTCACCACCACCACCGTTATCATCACACTATTACCGCTGTCTCCACTACTGACACCACTGCAATCACCACCGTTAACATTACAAACCCAACCATTATGACATCATCACATCACTACCTCCCCCACCATCAACTTACCTAAAGGACCACGGAACTCGCAGAGGGCATAGGTGACAGTGGAGTTAACGTTGGCTGGAGTGAGGCCCCCCTGGCCACTGTTGTTCACACTGAGGTAAGTGTAGTTAAAGTCTTGAGCACGGTTCAAGTTCTGCACAAGTGCTGTAATGTCCGCATCAGGGGTGTAGATCTTAGCCACCGTCAGGTCATCCCAGCTGAAATAAAGAGTGAAGGTTGGGATAAATGTCTAGTACTAGCCTCAGCACTGTCAGGTTTTCACAACTGAGGTAAAGGATGAAGGCTGGAATAAGTTTCTAGTTTTAGCCCCAGCACTGTATCCCAGTTGAAGTAAAGTATGGTTAGAACTGAAGGTGATGTATAATATTAAATACTACTTAGGTTACCTTGAGGTTACCTTTAAATGGTTTCGGGGCTTAGCGTTCCCGTGGCCCGGTCCTCGACCAGGCATCCTCATTGCTGGACGTGTTAGATTCATATTTTGTTCAATCATTTTGTTTTCAATTACCTTATACATGGAGTTTATACCAGGAAGCGTGGCTTTTGGATCCAATAAATAAACGAAGAAGATATATTTTCTCATTCTGCCTTAAACTTAACAGCGGAGACAAGGATTAACATCGGATACTGGGAGAAAAGATTCCTGGCAGTGAAGAGAAAGTAAATACCTCAAGATTACGTGGTGTTTATGTCCAGGAAGGACTGTGTAGGCTACATTAAAATTGTGTTCCCTTTCACTTGTTGTATCATCTCTGTAGTAAGTCAAGATGTAACCCTTTGATGCTTCCAAGATCTCACTGGAACTTCAACTGAATGTGTTCAAGATCAATTATGATCATGGAATTGAGAATGGCAACAAGAAATCTGTTCTCTTAGTTCCACTGGAAACAGTGGTGCATAGTGTCCAAGGAAACATTTGTGTAGGACTATAAGGATTTGATTACTCTTAAAAGGTGAAACCTTCATATCACAGGAGCTTGATGGATGTTCAAAGGATGCTCACTCACTCACAAAAGATGCTCATTTTCCTCAAGCCCTCTGCAGATGATGCAGTAACAGTGCTTGGGGAACAGAACAATCTGTCTTAGAAAGGATTGGGTCACCACACAAGGGGCATATTGGACATCTCACTACTATACGTTGAGGAACCATGTCCACATTTCTAGCACCTATTGCAGAGGCTTGGAGAGGGGAGGTATTCCTGAAAGGCGCATCTGGCACTGGCAAAATTTACAGAAAACGGAAATGTCCTACCACTAAAACGTGATCATAACTACTCTAAAGTGTTGACGATGACCACAAGGGGCTAGAGTGAATGTGTCAATTTGGAGGATAGAATAACCTTGGGCCGTGAGGAATTAAATATCCTCATGGCAGTCCCTAAGTTCCCTGTCTTCAGTCACAACATGGTGCGGGAGAAGGACTATGCCAATACTAACATTTAATTGGGCATTTTTAAGAATTGAACCTAGGTCTCACCAATGTAGAACACAGCAGCTAGGCAGTCAGCTGCCTTCTTAGAAGAGGCTGCAATGAGTGCCAGTCCAGGTAGGGTTAAAAAGTAACATAGGTATTCAGTCAACAAAGTGCTTATTTATGAGTAAATTATTAGTGCATGTATGTTCATCATGGCAAACATGAAATACTAGTATTAAGGCCAAGTAGCAGGGGCCAAACAAATCATGGAGTGTAGCAATCATTGAAGGAATCATGCATGTTTGGGTGCAGTGACAGCTCCATTAGTTCCCATTAAAAGGCACAGTTGTCACAACTAAAGATGGAGCCACTCCAGGTGAAGTGGTCACCACTTGGGACTTGGGGCTCAACCGTGCCAAGGAAGCAAGAAGGTAACAGAGAAGGTGAAGTGGGTGAACCAAAAATGAAGCCAGGTCTGGATTTCATCTTTGCCTCACCCTCACCGGCCCAAGGAAAACATAGGTGAGCCCCCTCATCACGACAAGGCAAAGTTCTTGAGGGGTCGCATGGACAACACCTGGATAGGATGAGGGAATTCCCACTGACATCAGGGAATGTTACGTGAGCCCCTCACCACGACAAGGTGATTCCTGTCCCTCTTGAGAGGGCAGGAATTAGAAAATTCTTTCCTTATTAATTCTGGCCCATCAAACCAAAATTCTAGCATCTGCTTTCATTATCATTTATACCATCATGGCCTACACGCAGCTGTTAAAAAAAATACATCTTACTTCCACAGGAACCACAACTCAGTTTCTATATAATATTATATCCTGGTGAATACTCAGGTTTTCCTTAATTAAGGCATACTCGGACAATAATAAATTATCTTTCCAACCATAACAGAATATTAGAATTCAACTCTTCATGTTTACAGTAACTGCAATTATATTTTCCTTGCCCAATTTAAACTCTAAATCATAATCAAACTGTGACAATAACAATAACGAAACACTGAATTCTAGTACAATACAGTACTGGCAATAACAAGAATTTATTTACCTCTACTAGACAATCCTACTAATGGCTTATGCTCAATTCTAGCAAGAAATTTCCTAACCAAAAGAAAATACCTGTTCTATTTTACAACATATGTTAAAGCTTCTTTGTCTAAATGAGAATAATTCTGCTCTACTTTTGCAAAATATGCAAAATTTATGCATATTCAGTTATGATTAAAAAATATGTAACATCTGATCCATATAATCCTTTTTGAAATAGCTGAGAGAGCATTAAGATCTTTAAAAGATGGGTTACAGTGGTTTACAGAGGTTCTATTAACAATAGACTTTCATATAAACAAAGGAAAACTATTCATACTACCAGTGGTAAATCTGAATTACTGTTTAACAGGCACATCAATATACACATGAAAGCAGTAAGAATAGATTAGGTAACATCTTCTTGATTATCTTTTGTTTTTAATTACCTTATGTTGATGTCTGGAGTTTATACCTAAAAGCCTGGGTTTTGGTTGGAAATAAACAAAAGACGGAAAAGATATGTTTCTGATTCTGCCCTAATTTTATCAAGTACTGTACTAGCAGGAAAAGCAGAACATCTTTATGAATAATTTAAATAAGCAAGTGACCATTATAGCTTATTAAAAAGCCATTGTTTGCAATGAAATAAGAGGTCTTCCCATATGAGGT